GAAATTTAAGAGGACCCAAATAAATGGCAAGATATTCCTTGACCATGGATTGTTAAAAAGTCTACACTGTTAAAAGCAATCTATAGATTCAGTGTAACCCCTATCAAAATATCAATAATGTTCTTCATAGAAAAAGAAAAAAATTAAAATTCATATGGAACCACAGGAGACCCTGAGTAACCAAAACAATCTTAAGCAAAAAGAGTAAAGTTGGAGGCACTTCACTACTGGGCTTCGAAACATACTACGAAGGTGTGGTAACCCAAACACCATGGTGCTGGCATAAAACATAGATACATAGACCTATGAAACAAAATAGAAAACACAGAAATAAATCCATGCACCTATAGCAAACTAATATTTTTTAGAATTATTTTATTTAACTTTATTTATTTATTTATTTGACCAGCGAGGGATAGAGCAAGAGAGTGAGAGAAAGAGAGAGAGAGGGAAAGTGAGAGAGCAAGCCGTCAGGTCTGGGACTTGAACCATGGTCAGCCATGTAGGAGTCCAGTGCCCTTAACCACCATGCCGCTAGTCGGCCCCATCAACTGATTTTTGACAAAGGCATCAAGAACACACACTGAGAAAAAGACAGTCTGTTCAATAAATGCTTATTGAAAACTGTATATTCAGAGACAGCCAGGTGGTATGGTGGTTAAGGTAACAGGATCTCATATGGCCATTTGCACAGTTTGAGTGCTGGACCTCGTGGCGTAGAAAACATGCCAGGTGCATGTGCCCAAAATCCCAAGAGGAGAAAGGATTGAAGTATGTCAGCAGTCACCTGTGAGAGTAGTTTCTCACTTACCTCTCCTTCTCTTTATCTCTATCTCCAGCAAACACTCACGTTCTATAACAAAATCTAAAAAGAAGAAAAAAAAAAGAAAAAAAGAAAAAAAGAAAGAAAAGAAAAAGAGCCTTTGTACTTCCTGTTTCCTCTTTCACCAAGGACCCGCCAACATGGACTGCATTCGCACCAAAACCATGAAGAAGGTGGCCCGGGTCATCATGGAGAAGTATTGCATGCGTCTGGGCAACAATTTCCACGAGAACAAGCACATGTGCGAGGAGATCACCATCATTCCCAGCAAGAAGCTCCATAACAAGATAGCAGGCTATGTCACATATCTCATGAAGTGCATTCAGAGAGGCCCCATGAGAGGCATCTCCATCACGCTGCAGGAGGAGTGAGAAAGGAGAGATAATTATATTCCTGAGGTCTCAGCCCTGGATCAGGAAATCATTGAAGTGGATCCTGACACTAAGGAAATGCTGAAGCGTTTGGACTTTGGCAACCTGTCCAACCTGCAGGTCACGCAGCCTACAATTGGAATGAATTTCAAAACCTCACATGGAGTGGGGTGTGTGGAGGAGTGGGGACTGGGGAAGAACATTTGGAGGAGGGATATGAAGACAGCATTGTTGAGACAGTGAGGTAGTGTTGTTATATTTTGATCAACTAGACCGGGGAGAAATGTTCATATATTGAAATGATCACCTTATAAGTGAAAGCTAAATAATGTAATTGAATGTATTTTTAAAAATGTAAATAAAAATAAAATAATAAGAAAAAAAAACTCACATAGAGCCGTTTGAATCTTTCTGCTATGCTGTACTATTTTCAATAAACTTAGGATAACCAAAAAAAAAGAAAAAAGAAAAAAGAAAGAAAGAAAGAAAAGAAAAGAAAAGGAGAAAAGGAAAACTGTATATTCAAATACAGAATGATGAAACTAGATCCGTGTTTCTCATCACATACAAAAGTCAACTCGAAATGAGTTAAAGACTTTGATGTAATTATGAAACTACTAGAAGAAAACATAGGGGAAACACTTTATAACTTTAGTCTTGGGAAAGATATTTTTTGAATGAGACCTCAAAAGTACAGTCAACAAAAGCAAAAATCAACAAATGTGATAATCCAAATAAGAGGCTTCTTCACAATAAAGAAAACAATCAAATAAAGAGACAACCTACAGAATGAGAAAAAATATTTACAAACAATACACCTGAAAAGGGATTTGTATCCAGAAAATATAAGGAACTCAACAGGGAAAAAAATACTAATAATCTGATTAAAAATGAGCAAAAGTCATGATCAACAGTTCCCAAAAGAAGACATACAAATTGCCAAAAGGTATATGAGAAAATCCTCAGCATCACTAATCATCGGGGAAATGGAAATCAATACCAAAGTGAGACATCTCTGCAGCCCAATCAAAATGGCTGTTATGAAATAGCCCCCCCCACCCAATTTTTTTGCTGCCATGGAGGTGGAGAAATTAGAACTGTCATTCAGTGTTGGTGGCAATGTACAGCCATTATGGAAAACAATATGTAAGTTCCTCAAAAAATTCAAAAGAGAACTGCTATATGATACAGCAATCCCAGTTCTGCGTTTATATTACAAAGGATAAAAAAATCAGTATTTCAGGGATCAGCAGTTGTCATAATGGCTACATGGACTCCCATGTAGTTGACCGCGGTTCAAGTCCTGGACCTAGTGGCTTAAACTCATACCAGGCATGTGTGCATGCGTGCCCAAGATCCTGAAAGGAGAATGGAGGAGAAGGGATTGTGGCGTGGCCAAGCCCCCTCCCCCTTGGAGTGATTTCTCACTTTCTGTCTTTCTGGCGAGCACACGTGCCCTATAGCAAAAACTTCTCCAAAATAAAAAATAAAAATCAGTATTTTAGAGAGTTATCTGTATTACCACATTTATTGCAACACTATTCACATAGTCAAGATATGGAATCCACCTAAAGTGTCCATCAATGGAGGACTGGGTAAAGAAAATGTGGCATACGCAATGGAATACTATTAAGTCATAAAAAATGAAATATTGTCATTTGTGATAAGGATGAACTGGAGGGAACCAGCAGTTAGCGTAATGGCTATGTCGCTGGACTCCCACGTAGTCGACCGCGGTTCACGTCCTGGACCCGGTGGCTTAAAACTCACGCCGGGTGCGTGTGCGTACGTGCCCAAGATCCTGAGAGGAGAATGGAAGAGAAGGGATTGCGGCATGACCATCCCCCCTAGGGGGGTGATTTCTCGCTTTCTGTCTCTATGTCTCTCTCTGTCTGTCTGGCGAACGCACGCGCCCTAGAGCGAAAAACCTCTCCAAAAAAAGAAAAGAAGGATGAACTGGAGAACATATATTAAGTGAAATAAGTCAGGCATGAAAAGACAAAAACGCATGAGCTCACTCATATGTGGAATCTACAAAGGCTGATCTCACAGAAGTAGAATCGTGGTTATCAGAGGCTAGGGATGGTGGGGGGTGAAAGGACAAACTGGCCAGAATGTACTAAATTAAAGTAAGAAGGAGTAAGTTCCGATGTTCTATTGTACAGTAGGGTGACTATAGTTAGCAATATTGTATACTCTATGTTTCAAAATATCTAGAAGAGAAGATTTTGAATATTCTTACCACATAGAAACAGTAAATGTTTGAGGTGATAAAAATGCTAAATGACCTAATTTGATCATTACACAATATATACATGAATTGAAACATCATTCTCTACTCCATAAAAGAATGAACAATTTTAGTGTCAATTAAAGAACAAACTAGGGGGGCCAGCAGGTGGTGCAGTGGTTAAGGTGCTGGACTTCCACACGGCCAACTGCAGTTCGAGTCCCGGACCTGGTGGCTTGAAACTCACACCAGGCACATGTGCGTGCGTGCCCAAAATCCCAGGAGAATGGAGGAGAAGGGATTGCAGCATGCCCATCCCGCCCTGGGGATACTTTCTCACTTTCCCTCTCACTGTCTCTCTCTGGCATGCACATGCACCCTTATGGCAAAAAGCTTTTAAAAAAAAGAAAAGTAAATAAATAAATATAAACTGTTGTCAAGTGTAAAAAATAAGTCTCTTTTATGGATATAGTTTCAGCGATAAGGCTCTGTAATTTCTGCTACTTTTTTATTTTTTATTTATTATTTTTAAAATTTATTTTATTTTTATTTTTTAAGAAATCTGTTTTTTAAGAAGTATTTCATTTAACTTTATTTATTTATTTTAAATTTTGACCAGAGAGAAACAGAGTGAGAGAGAGAGAGAGAAAGAGAGAGGGAAAGTGAGAAAGGAAGCCACCAGGTCTGAGACTGAAACCACAGTTGGCTATGTGGGAGTCCAGCACCCTTAACCACCACGCCACCTGCCAACCCAATTTCTGCTACTTTTTTGAAGACATTCCTTACAGTTCACTTGACGCAATCTGAGAGAACTGAGTCCTAAAAGTGATATTCTTAAATTATATATTGATATCCTTTACGAGTGTCCTGTTTTTGATCAATATCTGTCAATTCTTTCTCAGATTGTTGACAGAAAAAGTGGTTTAGTTGAAGAAATTGAGTTGAAGGAAGCCTCACTTCTCTCATTCAATGAACTATTTAAATAAATTATTTGTTCTTTTGTTTGGAAAGAGTAGAGTAAGGCCTCCCCCCCATTTAGGTAGGTCATCCGCCTTATAGGCTAGATATGTTCTCTAGAAGTTGTTGCTTTTGGATGTAATTAATTTTAAAAATAATTGTTACGGTGCTTTTCACTTGTATTACTTCCCCAAGTCATTTTAATATTTTAGAATGATCCTTTTAATGGGCACAGTAGAATAGTCCATCATATGGAGCTATATTAATTACCTTTCAAGAGAACTTGGAAATCTGGCTATTTAAAGAAATCGTGAGGCATTTTATAAGACAAATATTATTCTCTAATTTGTCTGCTTTTAAAATTTGCCTTTTTATCTAAGCAGTTGCATAAGATGGGCGAACCTTGTATTCTGATGGGGTTGTTGACTACCCATGCTATGGGCTTCCTTTTGAAGTCAGTTACCACAGCTTAGTCACTGAATGGATACAGGAAAGACTGATAGTCACCAGACATTGGTGACAGGGCCATTTGACTTTCAGGGTGCAAACCCAATAGCAGCCACAACTGACTCAGCCTCTCTTTCTAGAAGAGGTAACATGATTCCACTTCCATCCACAGCCCCCTTCGCCAGATCTCAGAAAGTACCGCTGATTCCTGCAGAAGCGAAGGTCTCTCCCAAGAAACCAAGACCAAAGGTATTTGTATTTCTAAGTACAGAAAGAAAATTTTTCTCATTTACGATATTGTTTGTAAGATTTTTGGTAATACACACACTGCAGAGTTGCACATTTCACGTAGAAGTGAGTGCTCTTTCAGCTGCTGCTGGTGGGGTGTATTTGATCTTAGAGGGGATTATTGTACAAGTCAGCTCTACCGTGACACTATCAGCAGGGTCTGAAAAAATCCAATCATTGTGCATTATTGTAGTTAAGTGACTGGGTCTCCCCAAACTGCTAGCTGGTCAGGAGTCTAGAATACAATAACTACTGCTTTATATTGAGATTTGTGCTGTACAGGATGTATTATCGTGAGACCCTACTGAATTTTATTCATCTTAAAGCATAAGCTAAACAGGCAAGATCTCCGGTTTTGCACGGAATATCTTAATGAGAGGTAGGAGGGAATTCTGGATTCCTTAGCATGAGCACCTCCCAGTACAGTGTGACTCCTCCTTTTCTCCCCGTTTGGAGGCACTGGACTTCAGCAGCTTGCTTTCTTCTGTTTATGGACCACAGACAGACTTAGAATAATTGAAACTTTTCACCGCAGAAAGGAGACAGCTGGCGGTGTCTTTTTCTGGCTTACCCTATATGGTTGTATTTTCAGCTGCTTCTCGTACAAAAAGATGGAGAAATTGAAGAGTGGCACAGAAGAAATTAACCGCTCTGTGTCTATGTAGTAGACTGTTACCTGTTCTTCCCAGACCTACATCTTTTTAACACCCAAATCTTCCTCCAGGGATTTGCACCGCCTTTTCAGCACTGGTGGGCCGTTTCCCGTAAGAGGCTTGCAGGCTGTTTATGTAGCAGCATGTCATGTGACACCCCAGTTGCCATGGCAAATATTTGTGTTTCATGAAAAATGTGGGGGGAAAAATCCATGTAAATGGCCAAATCCCAAGACAGACAAGCCTCGAGGCAAGTGTTTGGCCGGCACCATTATCATTTCAGATTCAGCTGTTTAACAGGCTGTGTGGAGGCCACGGGCCTGTGTGTAGTGGGAGCAGGCGGGGCACCTGTTCCGATTCCCACCCTGTTCAAGTGCTCAGGTCTCAGAGTTGTACGGAGAGCAGATCCACAGGTAAGACAAATACATGACAAGGTTTTAGCCAGAGAGGTTTACCTTCAAAAAAAAAAAAATTAAATAATGCCAATTTTCTGAATGCTAATTAGCCCTGGCTTTTCCTGCTGACTTCACAAAGCTTTCCCCCACCGCTAGAAGCAATAATATTTAATGACTTGTTCCCGCGGTCCTGGATTGGTACAACATTTCTGAATTGACTCTTCAATGGTAAATGTAATTATTCATATACTTTGCGGAAAGTGTGCTGGACGTGCAAGTTAGAAGGGCTCAAAGACCCACCATCCACTGAGGCTCACGGCAGAGCAGCACAGACCTCCTGTCAGTCTCACCACCAGGCAGCGTGGTGCCACATGAGAAGCCCGTCTTGTAAACACTTCTCCAAGTGTCCCCTAGATGTGGGACTTGGCATCTGATTAGAGTTGTTTTTGTAAATACTTACTTTGTCAAACTCTCTTCAACGCAAACAGGGCTTGACAAGCAGAGCTTCGTTGTCGGGGGTGGGCAAGGTCTTTCTAATGATTAGCTTGTGCCTGCATGGGAAGGCAGAGCAGAGCAGCGGGTCCAGCGGGGAAAGCGGGAAGGGGGGGCGGGGGTAGGGGGTTATTCGCACCTTCGGTTTGTTTTGTAAAATTGCCGGTGAGAGTCATTCTGATTTAAACTGTGTCTCGTTCTTCATTGTAGGGGAAAGGCAGAAGGTTAAGAGGACATCATGATGGGAAGGTCTGTAATTTGTGTGACTGGTGGAAATTTGGGCTCTGTCACCTGATGTCCTTTCTTTTTGCTGCAGGGCAAAAGTAGAGGAGGCCACTTGGCAGCTGGAGATGGCAGCAAAAGTTCTTTAGCGCTGGCTTTATAAGTGCAATTAGGTCATGTTTAAAAATTGGTTCATTTAAAATGAAAAACCTTTTTATTCCCTCCTTTGAGACTGAATGATTTCTCAGGCTTCAGTCTAAATAAATGACTTAGCATCCTCAAAATTTGGCTGAATCACATCAGTATTCAACTGCAGAGTCTTGTCTTATAGAAGTACACTTAAAAAGAAAGGACAGGTGACAAATAGGTTCAGTCATCTCCCAGCATGTGCATCAGGCATGAACACGTGCATCAGGCATGAACACATGCATGTGTGCATACAGGCACACACGTGTGGAGGATGTGGCCAGTGAGGTGTGGGATTTAGAGTTAAACCGACCACAACTAAGGTAGCAAAAATTTGGAAGAATGAAACCGCCCCACAATGTAAACACAAGTCTGCAAAGAACACTCCACAGGGCCATTCAGGGGTCATAAAAGCCCTGAACTTGAAACAAGAATGAGCTGGACCCTCCTCTTCATGGTGGAGCAACGTTAAGCAAGTCACTTAGATTCTCTGTACCTCACTTTCCTCTCTTACAAAGGGGGATAATGCCTCCTTTGTCACTGGGTTCCTGAAAGGACAGATCAGTTAGTGTGTGTGGAAGTGCTCTGTAACTGTGAAGCACTTGTTATCATGACTGTTTTTGTTGTTGTTTTAGAGAGAATTTTGCTATAGGGTGCATGTGCTCACTGGAGAGACAGACAAGAAGCAAGAAATCACCCCACCCCACCCCACCCCAAGGAGTATGGCCACATGACAGTCCCTTCTCCTCCAGTCTCCTCATGGGATGTTGGGCACACATGCACATGCGCCCAGCATGAGTTTGAAGCCACCAGGTCTGGGACTCAAACCGTGGTTGACCACATGGGAGTCCAGCAAGGTAACCGTTATGCCATCTGCCAGTCCCCAATATTCCTGTTTTTAAAAGCATTGTCCAGGCCTCACATTCTTTTTTTTTTTTTTTTTGGAGAGGTTTTTGCTATAGGGCGCGTGCGCTCACCAGACAGAGAGAGACAGAGAGACAGAAAGTGAGAAATCACCCCCCGGGGGGATGGCCATGCCACAAGCCCTTCTCCTCCGTTCTTCTCTCGGGATCTTGGGCACGCATGCACATGTGCCAGGCATGAGTCTTAAACCACCAGGTCCGGGACGCGAACCGCAGTCGACTACATGGGAGTCCAGCGGCATAGCCATTACGCCAACTGCTGGTCCCAAAGCCTCACATTCTGGATCTTCTATTCAGTAAGGATTTCTGAGGTAGCTTAGCCAACCCTTTCCAAGGAAAAAGAGCCTGCCTTTTGAGTCTCCTTTAGTCTTGCATGACTCTGCCTAAGAGGGACTGTGTGTACAGTAGTGATGGCCTACAGTTCTGAACCCAGGCAGATTGCCCCTAAACTGGTATGTGAAGTTAGAGCCCTCCTCCCCTTCTCACCATGAGGAAATTCTGGGCTTGACGCTGCACTTCAAAAGCAGGATGTGCCTTCAGGACGCCGAGGCATTATTCATCTGAAATGTTTGTAACTGCCAGTGTTGGCTGAACAGGTCCTGGGTGTGTGGCTCTAAGAGCTCCCAAGTCCACTGAGCCCTCTTCACAACAAGAGGACCCCTGTGCTGTCCTCACCCCAGGCCCACCCAGATGGTTGACCTCGCTGGCAGAGTGGGCCTTCGGATTCTGTGCTCTCTCCACATCCCAGGTTATGAACCCTTCCACGTGGGCCAGTTTTCCAGATGTTACTACTATTGCTACTGCCACTGCTGCTGCTGCTGCAGATTGAGGACCCCGTATTCGAAATGCTTGGACCATAAGTGTGTCAGATTTCAGATTTTTATTTCAGATTTTGGAATATCTGCATATATATAAAATGAGATACATTAGGGATAAGACTAAAGTCTAAACACAAAATTCATTTGTTTCACACAGTTTGAAGGTAATTTTATACATGATCTTTGTATTGCAGCACTTGAACTGTGACCCGTCACATGAAGTCAGATATGGAATTTTCCACTGGTGGTGTCCTGTTTTTTGTTTTTTTTTTAATTCAATCAGTCATGTATTTTTCACACACACACACACACACACACACACACATATATATATGTTTCTACATTTTAAATTCACATCTAGACCGTGTTTATATACATAATATAGCTTCCACATTTCTAAAACACTCAAGACTTCATAAAGAATTTTTTTTCACTAAAATAAACTTGCACTTTTATTCCATTTTCCGTGATTTTTTTTAAAATTTATTCATTCTCTACATTAATTCACTATACACCATCACAACACACAAATGAATTTTCCATCCAAAATACACTGTGCATTGTCTCAATCAAGCACATCAACATACATGTTCTCAGCAAATAATTTTCTAATTCTTATGTCCTGCATACCTTGCCTTTTGTTTTGCCATCCTTGATTCCCCATCCCCCACCCTCTGCCATGTCCCATCCTCCTCCCACATTGTCCCTGGTATCCACGG